AGCATAATATTAGTTTCCATCTGTACGCAGATGATTTACAAATCTATCTGCCTATAAAAAGTAACGTTGAGGATTCGATAAAAAGGCTGTTAGATTGTTTTTATGACATTAAAGCATGGATGGCTTTAAAGGTTTTACATTTTAATGAAAGTAAAACTGAAATTATGATTTTTAGACCTAGCAGTTCTACTAGCACCTCCAAATTAGACCTGGGACCCCTGACTCCCTACGTCAAGTCTATGGTAACGAACCTTGGTGTAAAGATGGATAGTGATCTACACCTAGAGAAACAGATAAACTCTGTTGTAAAGGCTAGTTTCTTTCAACTTAGGCTACTTACAAAATTGAAGCCATTTTTATCTTTCAAAAATTTGGAGAGGGTTATACATGCGTTTATCACCACTCGCCTGGATTATTGTAATGCTTTATATATAGGAGTTAACCAGGCCTCTCTCTCTAGATTGCAAATAGTTCAGAATGCTGCCGCTCGACTTCTTACAGGAACCCGTAAACGAGAGCACATTATGCCTGTTCTTGCCTCTCTTCATTGGCTACCAGTTTGTTTCAGAATACAGTTTAATTTTATTGTTTTATAATTTTATAAAGATTTTATTGTTTGTTTTTAAATCTCTTCATGGTCAAGCACCAGCTTACATAGATGATCTACTGAAGATGCATGCTCCTCTGAGGTCATTGAGGTCCGCTGACCAACTACTCTTATCTGTTCCTAGAACACGACTTAAAAATAGGGGAGATCGAGCATTTTCAGTCATGGCACCGAGACTGTGGAATGATCTGCCTATGCGAATCAGAGTAGCTCCCAGCCTTGACATTTTTAAATCACAACTTAAAACTCACTATTATTCATTGGCTTTTAAACCAGCCTGAGAGTTAATTAATGCATTTTATATATTTTTTAGTTTGTCACTTGTTTAACTGCAGAATGCGTTGCAGCTTAACTGTGCTTTGTGCTCATGTCATGTGTTTAAATTTGTCTGAAATTATGTCCAGCACTTTGGCTAACCTCGGTTGTTTTAAATGTGCTTTACAAATAAAATTGTATTGTATTGTATTGTATAAAGTGCATATCTGCCCCTGCAGCAGGCTAGTGTAAACAGCAGATCGGTAAATCCGCGGGTGACGGAGCGCAGCGAGCGCTGCTGCAGTAGCCTAACTGGAGTGCGCGCGGACTCGTCTCGGAGGAAGAATGCGCTCGTCTTGTCCAGACTGGACTCCGAGTGGCCTATAGTTGTGAGAATCTCCACGAATACGAAAGCAAATTTTTCATTTGAATCGCATATTCTGACTGGTGTAATGGTATTGAAATTGTCATTCAAATCACAGTGATTTCAGGAGACAAAACTTGACAAAAAAAGCACGTGGGGAAATGTTTTCTTAACTATATAAATGTTTTTAAATTAATATATTAAAAGCTTTTTATTTAATTTTACATAAACATAATTAAAACATATATTCAACATTTAACATATCTCCAAGATGATCTTACTTGGTTTGGGATTAATTACTAATTGCTATTAAAATGTAAATTTATCAAAAGCAAACATAGCCTAAGCAAATATTAAAATGGCAAAGCAGTAAAATGCCTGTGCAAACTAAATAATATTTAATAGGACAGTGTTCGTCATATAGTGATGTCACTGGCATATCTTCACCCCTCGCCCATTCTTTAATCTTTTCACCAAAAATACAACATGTGGCAGGCCCGCGACCACCAGGCTGAAGCCGTTTAGACTTTTCTCTTTTTAATGCACAGAAACAGGTAAAGTCAATCGTGTGTCTATCTTGCTCGTTAATCTAAAAAAGTTACCTGAGTGGTGGTTGTTATAATGACTTACCGGTATGTATATTTTCAATCAATGTAAAGTTGCTATCGTTAGCTCATTAGGCCTATACGACGACATTGTCCGCGGCGACACAAGTGGATTTTTTTGAAAGGGCAAGTAAAAGACAATTACTTGCCTGACCGGACAAGTAGCCTGATTAAAACTTCCGTGAGAAAAATAACTACGAGAAAAGCGAGAAGCGGTTCTGATTTTATTACATTTAGACAGCGATTACAAATGGATAACAGTGTATTTCTGGTAAAGCTGAGGCCAGCGCAGCCTGTCTCTTTGTGAGAGACTTTAGTGGAGAAATGAAACCAAATGAGCAGAACAAAACACACACAAGAAACTCACAGAAGAAAGATACATTCAAAATGTTGAGTTTATTATTAAAAACATGATGACTATGTTTTGCCGAATATTATTACGATTCCAAATGTTACATTGATTTAAGTTAAATAAACAAGTAGTTCATATTAAGTTACTTGCATTTTAGACACATTATTAACTGTTTTTGTTCTATTTTACCATCGAAAATAGTTCTAAACAAAGAAAAACAGCACTCAACGGTGTTTTACTAAATGATTCATCGTTTTGAATGAATCGGGTGAGTCAATGACTCAGTTATTAGACTAAGTGACTTGCTGCCACCTACTGGCAGTTTAGTTTGATGTTCAAAAGTATCAAAATTTTTTTTCCAAATTAAAACATTAATCTTATAACATTATTTATTGCATTTGTAATTTCGCAGTATACATTATTTAATTTGATTGGTATATTGCTATAGTGTGTTAGTATTAACACGTGATTTATTGATCAAATGTAAACATTTGACATGAAAGATAATGCATACATTAAATAAGGTTTTAAAATTGGCCTTCATAAAAATAATTACCGCCATTGGATAAATATAAAAAATATGTGAAATATATAAACATTTAGATAAAATATGCCATTCTCATGAATGGTGTTAAACACTTAAACTGCATGAAATCATTACTGAGAAGTTACAACATTTTTATATTCAATAAATATAAATATTTGTTGTGGATGCAATGCTTTTGAACACTTTCCTCTGGAATGCTGTGTTTTAATGTTTTAACTACAGAGATTAATTGCTTATCATGATAATAGCATGATTGTCTGAGAAAAATAGTTTTGTGCAAATAATGCACAACAAGGTCTATCGTTTTCCATTAAAAGCAAAAGCCTATTTTTATCAATTGTATTATATTATAATTGCACAGATTAACAGCAGTGATTTTTTTTATGTTTGCAGCTAGGCCTATATGTGAGTGTTAATTATAAACTATATTTATAATTACAGTTCATCCCGTATACGCAGATTGAAACTTGAAGCAATGATAAATAATTGGACCTGATGTCACAGTCACGTGAGTCGTTAACCGGTTCAAGTCGTTGTTAACCGGCTGACACACTTATTAGAAAACTGTAATCTTTAAAAACTATAACATATGGCTTTACAGAACCAATATATGCCCTCATATTTTATGGTAAACAAGGACAAACGTGTTTGCCATTTAACAATTTATTTGCACTTTGTACCAAATAATGCAAGCATTGGACAACAAATCTCGTAAAAAACATCAACTACAAAAAACGGCCGTGCTTTAGAATTTAAAATCAGCTGCTTGCCTTCGGGTTTGTCCGATGTCTTTAATAGGCTACAGTGAATTGTCATAATTTGCGTAAAATCCCGTGTTTTAACTGATCTACTGATCTTGATGGAAATTTGAAGAAGCCAAGTGAACGGCAGCTCTATTAGCCTTACACTGAGGTGGAGTCACCAAGCGTTCATATAAACCATAACTTTATCGCTACAATAAAACATTAGCCAACATATCTGTACTTAATTTACCATGGTAAACCGATAATAAGATAGGGCCTAGGCTACATTTAAAGTAAGCATTTAATATTTATTTAATACGACCAAATCATTCACAAAAACGTACATAAAGGAATGTCATGCTCAGACCTGAATCGTCTACAACCAATGGAATTGCTCATTGCTGTATTATAAACCAATTAAATTGGGAGTGAGCCCAATGTGTAGCCCCGCCCCATCGTCCAGACTGCACTCTGGGGTAGCCTACTACGTTATGATCGCCATTGTGTCGAGAGTCATTGTCTATCTATGGAATATATTCCACGCAAAAAGAATCATAAAATTACATAGGAACGACCATCCAGTGTTTAACCAGAGTATTTGTTTAAATATGCAATTAGGCTACAAAAAAAAATCCATTTAAATTCCACATCCGTAGAGGTAAAATATAGGAAATAGCCTATGAAACACTGTTAGAGAACATGCACACTGATGAGAGTGACGGTACGACGAATGTAAATGTGCTGCGCGCTTTGAAATGCAAATAAAATCCCTTGAGATAGATCAACGTTCTAATGAATAAAACACACACACACACACACACACACACATATATATATATATATATATATATATATATATATATATATATATATATATATATATATATATATATATATATAGGCTATATAGAATTGAATTCTACAAATAATCAATAATGTTGACAAATAATAAGTTGATAACAAAAGATAGCCTATAATTAGCCTATAGCCTACACTTTGCATGAAAAATAGATCGTTATCCAGAGAGCACTTAGTCTATAGGCAGACTTTTTCCTTCTAAATATTTTGAAATTGAGTGCCTACAGTTAACTAATTATCTCCAAATGTAGTTTCGAGAGTGTTAGAGTTAAGTAATTCGTTTCAATGACATTTTTATTGTTGAAAATGTCTATCTTAGCTATATTAGAATGAATGCTTGCAAAATAACGCATCAACAACATTAAACAGCATATAAAACAAAACAGCCTAATGTTACTGAATGTAACGACCCAGGGCGAGCTTTAGGACTGTTTCTGAATTCGATGAGGATGTAGCCTTTAACACGTGATTTTCTCAATTTGTGCTCAAAATGTTGCTTTTTTGAATGAAACTTACCCATCCATGTGTTGATAAAAATAAAAATAAACTTTAAAAAAAAAAACACATTAAAAATAGTAATGTTTCCAAACTTTTGACCACTATATAATAATGGAAATAAATAATAATAATAACTTAAAATAAAAATAATCAAGTCTTTAAAGTACTTACCCTTTTAGACCAAACAAAACCACCAAAATAGGATTTGTTGACCAGGACTCTGTCACTGCTCTGCTCCTTTGAGTTTATCAGCGTCAGGTAAATTCTGTTCGTTTTCTCAGGAATCATCTGTCTGGAAGTAGAAACAGTCACCTTGTAGGTCAACATCTTGCCTGAATGAAAGATGTAAAATCTCTGGATCCTCAGTTTATTCTTAAGCACCTTTATATGAAGTTCACTTCCGGCGCTACTCCCCCCTCCTGTGACTTTATAATGTGGGTTTGGTCTTTCAATCAAAAATGTCATGTTCATACCTGCATATGTGATATAAGTTTCTGAACTTCGAGAAGAGACATTAATAGCCTAGAGGTATTCCTATGGTACAGACAATCCCCTTTCACTCATACACTTTTACAATCACAATTGCCACTCCTACCCTTCTCAATAATATCATTAATATAAAAGTGAAGAGTAATATAAGAGTGTACATTAAATCTAATTTAATTTTGATATACTACGTTCAAAATGCCCTCCCGCAATGTAGCCTACAGTATGTGGGTCAAAACAAAGGGTAAAAATCTCCGGCCGAATAACTTACTGTTTTCTTTTTTTTTTTTTGGTCAAAAACCAAGGTCGTATGGTAGCCTAATTTAATTGTCAACTTAATCCACATGACTCAATTACAAGAAGAGATCCATTACTTTTTGACCACTGCCTAGCCCCATATAGTAGGCCTAACTGTTGCGCTTCGCTGTAATTTGCATTTTAAAGACGTATCTACACTTTTATTACTGAAATGCTGGAAAGTATTTACAAGAACAATATTTCATCACTACAAGAATATACACTACAAAGTGAAACTCAGTTCTTTCCATAATTTAATATGGCAGACATCCCAATTTCCCGGAAGCTCCTGGAGTCTCCCCCATTGATAGCGGTTCCCTGATGCCCGCAAATTAGTTAAAATCTCCCGGAAATCTAGAGCGAGCAAGAGCGCGCATGCGAAGCAGTGGAGACTGTGCTAGAAACAGTGTAGTGCGCAAACGGCGGAGAGGGAGAGAGCGAGAGCGAGAGCGAGAGACCTTGCGTGTGTGTGCGTGTGTGCCTCATGAAGCGCATTCTCCGGTAATTAATTAAAGCGCATGCTCATTAACTGACGCAGCCGGCCAAACGTGATTAGAAAGGCATTTTACTAAATATTTTTTTCTTAACAATACACTTGTAACGCAAGGGTCCTGCAGATAATAGAGAAGGGTTACAGAATTCAGTTTGGTTCTCCTCCACCTCGTTACAACAGGGTGTTACTCACGTTAGTGCATTCCCAGCAGTTTCTGGTAATGGAGCAAAAGTAGAGTCTCTATTAACGAAGCGAGCTATAGAGCAGGTGTACTCACCCGACAGAGAATCAGGGTTTTTTAGCCGCTACTTTATTGTTCCAAAAAAGGATGGGGGATTGCGTCCCATTTTTGATCTTCGGCTGTTGAATCGTGCAGTCATGAAACTCAAGTTCAAGATGCTGACACTCAAACAGATCATGACTCAAATCAGATCCGAGGACTGGCTTTTCACGATAGATCTAAAACAGTGGTTCCCAACCTTTTTTGTTTGAGACCCCCTTTTTCCCAAGAAAATATTTTAGGGCCCCCGTTCACATTTAATGATATTATCGCTCTTGTAAGCTTGCAGCAAGAATGACAAAAACATTTGTTTTCAAACAAATGGTATGTTTATTACCATAACCAGATATATTAATGCAAAAATAATAGCCTATAGTATACTATTGAAAACTGACGCATCAGCACTCGCCCTCTGGACAGCCAACTCACGTCAGTGTGCATCAGCAGGGTATGGTAATCAGCGCCTACCTCTTCACAGAGCGCAGTGAATATCCGGGAGTTAGTGGCTCTGGCTTTTACAAAGTTCACGATTTTTACGGCCACATCTAAAACTCAATGGAGACTGGATTCTATTTCTTTTGTAGCAAGCACCTCTCTGTGCAGAAATCAGTGCGTGTAGCTAATTTAGTGTAAACATATATTTTTAAATGTTGTGTGCTATGACAAAAAAAAAGAAGAGTATCCTGGGAGACCCAGCCAGGAATAATAACAGTCCACCCAAAAATGAGAATTATACGGAAGCCCTGAACCGCAACGTAAAAAAAAAAAAAAAATCTGTAAAAAAACAACAAAAAAATAGCATTTTGAGATTAAAGTCGAAACATTTCGAGAATAAAGTCGAAACATTTCGAGAATAAAGTCGAAACATTACGATAATACAGTCTTCCGTAGAAGTGTGTGCATTCATAACAGTGCGCGTCCATTGGCTCAGAGCGTGTGTGTGTGTGTGTGTGTTATCTGGGCTTTCAACAAAATTCTACACAGGTGCTAATCTACCAACAAGAATCACCATGGCGTTGCCTATAGACGAGCGCACAGACTCCGCCGGAGTATCACAATGGTCCAAACTTTATGTGGCAGTGTTTTTGAAGTGTTTTCGTGCTCGTCTAGGCAACACTATCTGGGTCGAGAACACAACAGTAACCGTTCTGTCTCCCTCTTCACCGCAAATACGTTCTGGATACATTTTAAGTGCATCATTCTGTATCCAATCATTTGGCCGGATCCCGTCATTTCCTCAGATTTAATAACCACTAATGGTGGTTGAGGAGAGATTCTCTGATATGATTGTAAAGCGCTTTGAGAGTAGGCCTAGTAGACATATGAAAGCGCTATATAAATGCCTCATTCATTCATTCATTCATTCATTCAGTCATAAAGCTGGATATCTCCATCCAGTCTGAAAAGTGTTTTCCGGGTTGGTTTTTCTATAGGCTAAAGTCTATTCCGACGCAGTATATTTTATAACGTCCTATAATGGTAGCCTAATGCTGGTAGATTGGCACAGGTCTGTTGAATTTCCTTTTGTTGAAACAAAACACACACACACACACACACACACACACAGTGTGAAACACTCGCTATGCACCATTATGAATGCCTGTGTGTGCGGCAATGTGAAACAATGGCAAGCACACACGCGCAACTTCTACGGAAGACTGTATTCTCGTACTCTCGAAATGTTTCGGCTTTAATCTCGAAATGCTAGTTGTTGTTGTTTTGGTTTTGTACAGATTTTTTTTTTACAGATTTTTTTTTTTTTTTTTTTTACATTGCGGTTTCGACTTTAATCTCAAAATATTTAGACTTTAATCTCGAAATGCTAGTTTTTTTTTTGTTTTTGGTTTTTTTACAGATTTTTTTTTTTTTTGTATGTTGCGGTTCAGGGCTTCCGTAGTATTCTGTCATCATTTACACAACACTTCGAAACCAGTATGACTGCTTTTCTTCTGTGGAACACAAAATAATTGTGCCCCTTGACTTCCATTGTATGTACAAAAAAACATTAACAAATTTCGGTTTTTTTTAATTAGCTTCCATGGAAGAATGAGTCACACAACATGGGAGCGACAGAATTTGTATTTTTGAACAAACCTTTAAAAATGGACCCCAAAAAGGGGTCATAAAAAATATCATATTTTTCTTTATTGTATTTAGTTTACAAACATACACAGTCTTGTTTAACAGTTTAGAGAATCTGAGATAAATGACTACTACTAATTATAAATATTATATTAATAAGCATTAGCAGAAATTAGTTAATGCAGGAGGTAAACATAAAGCTGCTTGGTTTATATTTTGTAATGTTCATTTAATATATATTTTAAAATTGAATTGCTTTTCTTTTACTCATTTTGTTCTTAACAGCTCTGAAGCAACTCATAATGTAATAAAGCATAATATAAAACTGCACATATTGTAATTACATTATTAATGTAATAAAATGTTTATAATGTAATACTTTTGTCAAAAAATTATAAAATATTGTGCTCATTGTATAATAAATGCATCGTTGCACCAATAAGGATTAAGCACAGTTTAAAGCTAATCTAAGATTTGTTGATCTGGGCTTTATTTTAAGTCGAGTTGTTTTGCACCACTTAATTTTAAACACATATTAACAAGGTACATCTCTATTGAGATTTAAATCTGAGTTTAAAGTTCTGTAGCAACAGGATTAAAGTTAATCTATTTTAAATATAAATTAAATCCAAGATCAAATATTTGTAACCTGCTTATTTTAAACAAAGCTTATTTTAAACAAGATTTTGTTGGACACGTTTTTTCATTCATTCATTCATTTCGTCATTCATTTATTTAATCATTTAAAAAATATATTATTATAATTTATTTTGTTGCAATTTGATATGTTGCCAGTATAATTGACACACAGTGGGTGTACGTTTGTACTAAACTGAAAACTTTTCAGTTGTATTTCTCAATAATTCTACCTAAAGACTTACAAGAGAAACACAAAGGTGTTAGGCAATAATGCAATTCCATATATTGTATAATGGAAAGGCATAAACTGTCAAAACTTTCTTATGTGTCCTTTCTCATGAAGATTTAACGCTCTATGGCACGGTATTGCCCTCAGGCAACAAACTGTTTGGACCTCACACCACCATATGGTGCATTCAAGCTCTCCTGGGAAGTTTGTTTTTTACAAGTTCAGAAAATTAAAAGAATGCGCATTATGTGTGCCATTTATGTTTCATTATTATTATTATTATTGTTGTTGTTGTTGATATTATTATTATTATTATGCTGCCCCAGCGAATGATGGGAAATGTAGTTTGGTCACTCATGCCCATCAGCTCATAAACTGGCTAGTAGTGTTTTCTGGCAAACTTTATCTTTCTTCTTCATTAACAGTAATGCTTACAAACTACATTGTACTGTCAGCATTCAGAAATAAATTTATCATGTGGCCGTAAGGTATTTTTCAGCAATTACAGGAGTTAGTCGATGATTTTGTTGCCGTCTGAATCAAGAATGTCGTGTTTTTCTCCCACCACCTGCATAACAATCCCAGGCCGAATAACCTTTTTTTTTTTTTTTTTTATCAAAAAGGTTGTGTGGTAATTTAATTGCCACCTCAATCCACATCACTGTGTTTACAAGAAGATATCAATTCAAAATGCATTGTTTAAATCCTTTTTGACCACTGCCGAGACCCTTCGGGTAACTGTTGCACTTCTCTGTAATTTGCATTTTAAAGATGTATACTTTTATTACTGAAATGCTGGAAAGTATTAACAAGA